TCCACCAGACCAGCGCTGTCCAACTGACGGCTCGCGAAGCAAATCAATTTTTTAAAATAAATATTTACATAAACAATCACGATGTTCAAATAAACAAAAAATTGGTGTCTAAATTATGTAACCTAATAGAACATTTTAATATAAGGTTATCATTCAGCAATCTATTAAATATTAAATATAAAAGAAATCATTGCCTAATAATTTCGTCCACAAAGCTTTCATTGAGAATTTCTATATACTTCCGTAACAGTATTTTTTACCTTATTTTAACGTATTTTCTTTATATCAATAAACTAATTTTTGACATGACATTTATTGATATGTTGATTTTCTACGCTTCGCTGGCCCCCGAAATGGTTGCAAAAGAAAAAATGGACCGCGGACTAAAAGGAGTGGAATAGCGCTGCACCCGATCGAATCGACGAAAATATCCCACATTCGCACTCACATCCGAACGAAATCCATATCGATGACGATTCCCTTAAAAGCGAATAATATCGTCGTCGGCTACGCCGCGACGCACGCCCGGAAGAATTATCGTCACCGTGATCGATCCAAGGAAACGTCAACGACTTGGCGCAACGTATCGGTTAAAATGTCTTCTATCTGTTGCAGATGCGTCTCGTTCCAATGCAGATGGTTCGCATCTCGCGTCCTCGAAAGCTTCTGCTACTGGCAATTTCGCGAACGCGAGCGGAACAGCTTACTGTCACTCTCCCTGCGACGCGCCGACGACGTTCTCCCCTTGCGCGCCTCCCTTTTCCACCCGTCCGTCCCGTTTCTTTCGCCCCATTATTCGACACCCCGGCTCACTTTCCCGTTGAAGCGGCCGAACACCTGTCCTGGAACCGTGCCTGGTCGCATATTTCCAAACATCTCTCGAAATCTCGCATTTCTTAAAAGTATCAACCAACCATAGAAGTTGCACTTATAAAATATCGATTATCCGCAATTTTTCTACATATTTGTTTCTGGATACAATAACATGAATAAACAAAAAAGTCAAAAGGAATAGTGGGAAAGGAAGTAGGACGATTTGCGTCAACAGTTATCCAATCTGATGTTGCGTGTTTTGCTCTCTTTATCAGCTTCGTCGCGTCGTACGGATATTTGCGGAACAACACACGGCTCAACGCACCGCGCCGTACCGCACGCGGCTTAATAATTTGATTAATTGCCAGAGATATCCTCTCTCTGGTGCACGGGCGGCTCTCGAATCAATTCCATTAACCGGCTGTTGCACGCGGCCCGACAGAAACCAGGAGCGCGGTGTTCAATGCTTCGGATTCCATCGATCGTCCGGAATCGAATATCGTATCCACCTGTATAAGCGGCCTCTTATTTCGCACGTTCCCACCCGTCGAACCGATTAACCACGCTTGCGGCTAGTTTATTTCGCTAATTAACGCTGCCCGATTTTACGGACAAAGGGGCGCGTTAAAAGGTCTTAAAAGTGGGGGGAGCGCGGTGGCTGATCCGAGATTTACTGCCGCCCCGCACGATACGGCTCAACACTCGTAAATCTCGGCAATAACGATGTCTTAATTCCGCGCAAGGAAACGTAAAAGCGATAGAAATAGGGACGTGAGGATGGTTTCTGATCAATAATCGTCATGTGAGTAGACACCATGAAGAATTATCGACATTCAAGCTTCAAGAATAGTTTTATGTTTTAACATCAATGTTCGTGCGCTGTATGAGATATCTGAAAATTCCAAAAAGAATAAGAATTCGTGTATCGAGAAAGAAAGATAAAGGAAAAACGGACAGCACAGGACACCGACGGGATATGTACATATGTAATAGTATCGCGTTAGAAAAGAAAAGAAAGAAAAAAGAAGGCATCGGTAGAGTTCAGGTGCGTCTGAAAGGCCAGTAATTTCTTTTTATGTTTATCCGCCTCGATTCGAGCCGTTGCTTTTCTAGTATCTGCTGCTCTATCCCTCGTAGCTCCCTTCTATTTATCGCTTATGGCTTACGGCTTAACCTTCCTTTTAGGACGTGTATGACGAGAATCGAGCGAAAATCGAAAGCGTTTCCCAAATTCGAGTTTACGCTTCGTGGAAAAGCCTCGAGAGATGCCTTTTTACGTCAAAGCGGAGCAAAGGTGCGGATGAGTCACCGCGCGTTATGACCTGGGTGTGTTCGCCTTGTACTCTTTAATGATCCTCGCGTGAACAATTGCCAACGCGCTTAGGTATTGCGGGAATCTCGAAATAAAGAATGTAGCGAGTAACATATCGATTCCTCGAATAACGCCAAGCGAAACAGAAAAACCTGTCTACTGGCCGATTGATCGCTCCTGAATTTTTCATTAATTACAGTGCTCACCTTGGCCGAACGTGATGCGTATTTTCCTTCTTCTACTTTTAAGAATACTCACCTCGAACCCACTCGTTATTTTCTCAATTAACAATTTTCCACTGCCAATTCGACGTCTAATCCCGAAAGTAATTGGAATGTTATCTATTCGCTGTTATATTTTTCTGACAAACACGTTGCGCAGTCACACGAAACAATTTGTTTATCGGCAACGGTATTACAACGCAGTTCACGAATCAGCGTAACGAAGTTGAGTAAAACGAATGGCATTGTTTTTTTTCATCAACGCAACGGCGACGCGAGCTTTATATTTTTCCTCTTGCCCACGTTTTCAGCAGTGCAGGAGATAGGTAGGTGTACACTACGACACAGGCATGCTAGCAGTGACATTTGAGCGACGCGAAGTGCAAAGTCTCTTGAACTTCTTCCTGTCGTATTTCCATTTTTATTTTTTCACCCACTTTTCACTCTTCCTCTATTTCGGTCATAATAAGCGTTACCAACCCGAAAACAATTGCATTGGTTGTCAATAACATTTGCCAGGTATCCAATAAACTCTGACAGTCCCGCGCATTTCGAATCGTAATAATTAACGTCAGTTTATTAATTTCCATAAATACAAATGTATGCACATAAATAACTTTACGTGAACGAATGAAGGAAAATATCGGATGGAGGGATTATAAGCAGAGCCCGTGAAGTGAATCGCGCCGTATTTTCTTTTTATATCTCCAGTAAATAAAGCTAATTCACTCTGAGTCGGCGGACTTGATCGACGTTAACCAGCAGAATCATACCAATCCGATCTTACGTTCGCAGTTTCGCTAGCCATTTCGCCGAAAATTTCGATGCCCGCGATCAATTTTACGACGGACTTACCAAACAATTTCCGGTTCATTGGCAACCATCGAAGCGACCTAGTGTCATCTAAGGACTTTTATTTTTTACTGCAGAATAGCGTGCGTTTCTCATTTCGGGAATCTCGAATTTAGCTGTGATTATTTGTTCTCAAGCTCAAACAAACTGGAGACAATCCGATCACGATCCATCCGTGAAATCGATGCGCGAATCGGTGTTTCATACGCGGATCAATTTTCCGCGTTAGGCGCGCCTGCTGTTCTTAAGGCTGCGTCCTGCGTCTGACAGATTATTCCGCAAAGGCCCTCCTTCTTGTTCTTTATACAGTGCGAGCAAGTTCGATGGTAACCGTTTCCCCGAACCGCAAGTTTCATTCTAGTGACGGCAACGGAATTAAATTTAGTTTCACGGTCCACTGGTTGTACGCGTTGAAAAATTAGGATTAGCCACGGTGCGTAAAATGCTTATTTTCCGTTTTTAAAGAATGTTGTTTATTTTCAGTGATTTAGGAGGAATATTTTTGATGAAATTTTGATTTTATAAACGGAATACGATATCAGTACCTGTTATATTATACTCGACAGACTACACGTATCCATCCGAATTACTTTGTAAAATTCTACAATGGTTTCCTTCATATTCGTAGGCTACGGTATCAGATTCGTAGCGCTCAAGTTTGTCGATGTATCTATCTTACAATTAGAGAACGAGAGGGAGTATAAATATAAGAGGGGAAGAGAGAGAAGTTAATCGAACGTGTTCGGCGTAGAAGCGGGAAGCTTCGGAGGAGCGGAAACTTGGAGAAAAAGCGCGCGGAGCTCGTTATTTCTTTCGCGAGTGTTTTTTGCATTTTCGCCTGGAGCGGGCACGCTTTTGTCGCGATGACAATAATCGAGGGGCAATTCCGTTTCGTCTCCCTGCATGGAAAAAGTTAGCCGAGAAAAATCGTGCAACAAATAACAATCCTGAGAATACCGAATTCTCTTCGCAATCCGTTAAGCGTACGTTCGCTTCGAATTGGAAGTTTCAGCGACGAAAGTAAAAATATCTACTGACAACGTGACCGAACGTTAACCGCGTTATGTGGATAAAAAAAGAGGAATTTAAAAATACTACATAGTTTTATTTAGCTGTAACTGTTTTTCAAATAGAGCGAACCGCCCGTAAAACTGTAAAAAGATAACAGAGTACAAAATTTAACTAGCGGATTTCCTGGACACAAAAGAGGTGTTGCCCAGCGGCACGACGGCTTGTCAAACGAAATTCCCGTTTAGATACAATGTGTATGCAGAAAAAAAGTTGTTTTTTCCCCTTTTCGGACGATTCGTCGCGTCAATTTCAACTGGACCGATCTCCTCTCTTTCCCGCAACCGTATTCTGTCAGAATGTCGAACGACATCCGCTCAGACCACGATTTTTTTCATTCAGGTTGCTGACATTCTTTTTGCTTTCCGGTTGCAAAAGGGAAATAAGGAAAAAGATTCGGTGCCTAGCGAATCAGATACAACGGTTTGTAATTTATGGTTTGCAAATGACGCGAAACAGTTTACCTTGAAGGATACGTAAGGCTATTGCGCCGCGATAGCCAGTGACAAAACGGGCAATCTTCACCTACTTATTCGCATTGATGGCATCATCCTCACGAATACTCTCTCTGTCTCTCTTTTTCTGTCTCTCTCTGTCTCTCTTTGTGGGTGCGTCCATATGTGTGTGCGTGCGCATATGTAACGATAGCAATTGTGACCAGGTATTCAGCCTGTCTAACCCAACGATTGCGTTAATTTATGAATTCATTTCCATAACCATTTCCCCTTTCTTTGTTTTTTTTTTTTTTCATTTAATCGACACAACGATAATTAATCGTTTGGAAAGAATAAATGGAAGCTGATTACGTCACATCGATTCGTTTTACGCCCGGTGCTTGTCGATTATACATATGTATATACTTCTCTCTATTATCATTTCATGTCTCTGCATTGTATTTTCGTTAATTGATTCCTTTCAATACAGGTGCGTACTCCTCGTTATTAATGAATGCGAGATAACATCTGCTTCGCGCTATTCAAATTCTATCGAACTGGAAGTTGTTACGTGATTTTATAGGAAAGCTTTCTTCTGCGTGAAATTGCGAATAGATGTAACAATTTACATTTATCAACGCGTATTTAAACCGTATACTAAATTGTTTTTAAAGTTTCTTATAATGTCCTGTTTTAAGAGTGTGTTGTAAAATAGAATATATAATGTGTAAACCTGAATAATGATACTTCCTCTAAAAAACAGTAGTTACGTGCCGTCGATACAAATCGTCGATATTATTAGTCTGTTTTTCAATTCTGACCTCATCGAGTAACACGCCATGTTTCCTATTGTCGGTAGTATGAATCATATCAACTGAATGGAATCGAGAAAAGAACTTGGGTACAAGTTCCAGAGATTACGAATAAGAGTTACACATCACACTTTATACTTTTTTTTTTTAAATACTCTTGAGTAAGAACGAACGGATGTGCTGCAATTCTTTAAAATGATTTCATTTAGCAAGATTCTCATTATACAATAGCAACATTTATTCGGGTATTCTTCAGATTCGTTGAAATCGTCCGCAATTATATAACGACCACGAATTCAAAGAACTATTCATGGTTATGTGAAACATGGCAACACCTTGTCTGGTATTCAAATGGATCTAATAAGCAGCCATCTCCTAATTAATCAACCAACCGTGTTTATTTACGAAGAACTGTCAATTAGAATTCGTGCAACTGTTCAAAGACTTTTGCGCCGTTTAAATGGATACTTCCGTTGTTCATCTGTTTGAACAGATTACCGCGTTAAACCTTTTCAAATAGTTCGACCGACTAGACTAGCGGAACGTTCCTTTCAAGGAGAAATTAGGAAACGGTGAAATCTTATCCATCATGAATAACTTTGTTTACTACTAGTTGTCATATTTCTGAAACTTTTCATAAAATTGCCGAAGCTTCACTCGCAAAGGATTTTTCATTAATTGTCGTATTCCGCATTAATTATAGTATTCACGTGTACAGTTAATCACCGCAATGATGAACAAAATTTCTTTACATTGACGATTTCCATGAAGCTCTTTGGTGGAGCCTTGAATGGTTTTATTATTATTTCAATATGTCCCAAAAGCGGAGGGGAAATCGGCGGTAGAATTATGAAAATGATCAGCCTTCATTGAGCTTCGAAGCGAAATAGAATCGATTCGTTCGGTAAATATTTCATGAAAAGTATGACGGCTGAATGAATTCCTGATTGGTTCTTTTAAATCATGGATGAAACGGTTTAATTATGTATACATGTACATTACACGCATACGTAGGTACATTGGGACAGTACGTTGCATCGCATCGCGTCGCCGCCGCGAATGTTTCCCGTTCTCGTTCAATCGAAATTCGAAGCCCTTTTCAGCGATTGATTTTCCAACAATGGAGATATGAATACGCAATTTTTATTAAAACCAGAGCGGATCAGTATTCATTCTACACAGATCAATTTATTTACAGTACCAAAAGCGGATTCTTTAGGCGAAGTAACTTTGGTATCTCGTTCATCGTTCCAGATTTCTTTCTGTTTCATCGAAAGCCGATGTCCCGCATCTTTCGAGACTCCACTTTCGCACGCGAAAGTGTATCTTCCATCAATTTCCGCATTCTCAGTTGCAGATGAAGTAGCTGCAATCCAGTATAAATTTAAACTTCAACAAAATTTATTGTAAAATGTTATTATTTTTAATCAAGACGGTAATATCTTACAAATGATTTGGTAGGTCAGTCTTTGCGTTTAATAATAGATCCTGTAATGTAACCTTGGTAATTTAAAAATTTTTGCAATGGACATTTTGATTCACTGTACCATTCGGTCATTCTATTATACATTTGCGGTTCTTTGCGCTCGTGGAGCAATTTGCAAAGATCGCAAGCAGCCTGCTGGGTGCCAGAATCAATTTTGTAATACCTCTTCCAAGCAAAGAACTCATTGTATTCTTTCGGATTCTCAATTAATTTCTTCAGGTACTTTGCCAGATCTCTTGGACTATCGAAATCCAGCACGTTTATGTATGATCGCGGCGGCGCAAACAGGCTGTAATTGGCGCCACTGTAAACGATGGGGACCACGTCGTACCTGTGAACAGAGACACAAGAAGACGCTGTTCTTTACTCTTTTCTTTTGACGTTCGCGAATTAATTGAATCGAAATTAATAACGACATCGACATCTCGCGTCGTTCAAATACGATTCATATACTGTATTTCTTATTCAATCTATTCGTTTCATTCCATAACATCACCTAACGAACAAACACAAAAGGGGAGGCGAAAAAAGGAACGAGAGAGATCTGTCAGGGAGAATCACCAGCAGCGTGGGCCACGTGTCGAAACAATTTCATGACCTCGAACGAAACAGGAACCGCGAACCAAGCCCGCCGTCGGCTGATTTCAAAGCGATGAAATTCTGCGGCTGACAATTTTATCATTGAAATCGCTGGCTAGTTTTCCAAGCGTTCGCGTCGCGTTGTCCTGCGAGCCATTGTTTTTACCTGAGCGCGTTGTACAGCTTCTCGGTTACGTAATCGTTGCACAGCGAGTTCTCGAAGGACAGGTAGAAAAAGTAGTTGGGTTCCGTGACCTCTGCAAAGCAGTCTTTGCTAAAGGGACAGGACATCCTGCCACATTTACCGTAAACGTCCACTTGCATGTATTTCGCGAGCTCGTTCACGTATTTCTCGCGACCGCTTTCCGCCATACAGTTGCTCACGAACCAAACGATCGGTTTCGTCTTCCTTCGAATGTTCTTCGACTCTTCGACTTTCTCGTGCTCACCTACATACGTGCGAACCAGTACATTGCTTCTGAACGTATAGATATATTTAATGGACACGACGCATTTGAGGAAAAAACGAATGTTTGGAAACGTGACCCGAGTACGAAGTAGTGAAATTGATAAACGTGCAAAAGGCAGTTCATTTGCAGTGGTTAATAAAGTCATCGGGTGGGCTTTAATTAACGTTAGTCTGGAAGGTTCACAGCTTGCGTAACGCGATTATGCAAAGGAATACACAATGCCAACCTGCTGCATATTTCGCTACTTAATCATTTTATTTGTACTCGAAACACGTACATGGAGTTTCTAAGATAATTGATATACATACCATTCTAACTATTTTTTGCTCAAAGCGTACTGCTTAGTCTTAATGAACTGATTCTAATTAAAAGATTCGCGATTCGACATCTCTGCTAGTTATCAATATTCTATTTTCAATCATTTATCGAGTCCACTGTATCAATTATATACCACAAGTGTGTACACGAAAATGGATTCTCGTTCTATATAATTTTTACCATTCACTTCGAGCGAACGAGCAACATGCACTTGGAAAGGTACAGTTACGCAGTGTATACGCTTCTTGAATTACACGGCATAGTAAATGGCCAAGTTCTTAGTCACGGTAGGTAGGAGTTAGGAGACGAGTGGACCATAACAATTGCGTACGAAGCGTGCCACAAAACGAGCGGTATAGGTATAATAATAATGTGAACTGCAGGCGGAAACCACAAGAGAGAATAAGGGAGTGACCAAAAGCGGAGAGAGAAAGAGAGAGAGAGAAACGAATGGTCTTCACGCAGCATGTTATCTACGTAGCAAGTAGATACCGTTTCAGTGAAAGTCAAATAACGTAACTTATTGAATAATCAATCTACGAAAAGTGTCGAAACCAGTGGCCTCGTTAAATTTTTTCACCGAGTTTATAAACAGTCTTTTCTTAGTGTGCTTTTAAAAATGTGTGTTACATGTTTACTTTACCTAATTGATTGTTAAACGCATTCCATACAGGATTTTTACTAGGAGCGACAATGCGTTCATTATTAGCGTCTCTGACAATTCCGTAGTTCCATGTAATATCACTATCTAATCTGTAGGTCATCGTTAGATTAAAATAATCTTCATAAAAATTATTGATCAACGGCCTGTTGGTTGGACTCTCCAGATTTACGAAAACGTACCACTGCCATGGACTCCTTCTCTCCGGCAGATCAGAGATCTCGAGTTCGTTAGCATGAAAAAGTACCGCATCGAATTCCACTAGGTCCACGTAGTCTCTGTCATAGGTCGCGTAACAATTGTTCACAGGACACTCGAGAAACACGTCACCGTCACCCATGTAAAACGTTTTGTCACCGAACATAGTGTTCCAAAACAGTATCTTCTTCGTCGTGTTAGTCAATCTCGAATATTCCACCGTGATCCGCTTAAAACGCAGGAGATCGTAGATCGTAAAGTTGAAGTAGAATGACAGGATGTACAGCGTGAATGTGAACATCGAGAGGACCATGAAGAGGCGGGTCTTGTCGACAATCCATAATTTCATATCGATCTTCGTTTTAGTTTGACAATGAGTCTTCGTTTCGTTGTTGGAGCCAAGATTGTGATTCTTAAAGCACAAGGCGGATGCCAAGTCAGAAATGTTGCCCGATAGGCGTGACACACATGATTAGTACTAACGAATATCTTTGAAGTCTCTCTGAATCGTCAAGTAAATAAGGGAGTGGGTTTATTTTTAAGACGAGCAAATCAGGCGATGTGTCACTATGTTACGTTGAACTATAAGGAACGTGAACGTGAAGAAAATTTTCAAGTAATAAAGTGAAATTACTCGTTAGCTATTACGTTTAGGGCTAATAACGCTCAATAGTTTTTTTACTTACAATTCGATACTCTAACATATTTTGGTATAAAAAATATAGTATTCTATTTAAAAAAACAAAGTTAATGTTCAAATCTTCGAAACGCCTCTACTTATAAAAAAAGTTAACGTACTACATAATGTACCCTTTTAAACCATGTAACTTTTGTATATAACATTCTTTCGTGCAACGCATATTTTGGAAGTTATAACGGTGTACACGTTGCGTGGACCACCCTGTATACGAATGATTGAAAGGAAGAGGAGCACAGAGAAGAAATGTAGAATTATTGTTTGCGAATATTAATTTCGTTGATTTAACACTTTTAAAATTGTGCTGATATTATGACATAATTTCTTTTATTGCTAATAAATAGCCTTCGAACTATTTGTATGCAATATCAATTTACATGCACAGTAATTTACATCGTAATATTTTTTTTAATATGCAGATATTTCACTTATAGGAACAAATGTTCTTGTAGGAATAGATGTAGGTCGGCGATTAAAGTATGAGTTAACAGTTCAAATGCATAAAATTAATGACGAATCACGCCGTATATAAAAGTGCAGAATGTCAATTAAGGAAATTACGATGAATCACAAGAGAAATCCGAATGTATAATGTTTCGTTATGATGATGAAGCAAATCAACGACCAACTATCCTTATATTATAACATTTAGATGCATATAAATATTTTTTATAATTCGACTTTTCTAACGGCCAACCGAACTTCGGTACACTTACATTAGACGATGCAATGAATTCGAATATAGTTTTCGATAACATAAAGGCTGTTAACATAAGTTCTCCGATGTATTCTACAGATATTGAATAACTGACTTTTTACCGTGTCACGCTGGGAATTAATAATAATATTTTTCATAAGGAGTCCTTGTCTTCGTTCCTACAATTGACTGAGCGATGACAAATATGAATGCAGCAGCGTTTCGTGGCAGACAGTCGCTTGTCTGCACAGGATATTAAGGAGAAATTCACTTCAATTCATATTTTTGGCGAGCGATATAACTTAGCGTTTTTTTGTTGTCCCCTTCCCGTCGAGATAAAATTTAATTAATGTGGGGAATGCCAATATGAGTATATGATTCCTCGTATTCTAGTTTTAATTCAACCTGGTTTTCTTTCGGCAATAGGTAAGTCCTCTCTTTCATACCGTATATCTCTGTCTGCGTCTCGCTCGACCGTGGCGGACGGACCTCTCCCTCATTCCGTCCGCCGCCGTTTCGAGCTTGCGCAGTTGACCTATTCGCTCTGCGGGCCAGTGGGCCCCTTTGAAGCATCCAGCTTTTACACGCTTTTTCCTATACCTCGCAACTTTACGTTTCGGCCCTGCCTGTCCGTGCCGGCGGCGACGCCAAAACGGCGACGCCAAAACGGCGACGCCAGTGGAAAACGCGCTTTAATCAATATGTCGACAGTTCATAGAAAGAACGCTGTCCAGTTATTACAGTTTGTCAAGTCATGGAGGGGCACTCCATAGGTTGCCGATAAC